ATATATAAATACACAAAAGAGTTCAGCTTTGTGCCAGTTTAGTTTTTATGTTGTGTTCGGAGAAGGTACCAAATCCATTCAGTAGTCTTTGTTGTGTTTATGAAGACAGGCAGCCCCTTCCAACTTTCTTCTAAAATATTAACCTCAAATCTAATTTCATTCCTTTAATTCAGTGATTGAAACTCATAATTAGTAACTGCTTATGTTTTACATCTCGTTTACAGTCTATAGTGTGGAGATTTATTTATTTAATTTACTGCTTCACTTGTAATTTACCACTAGCAATTTCTGCTGACTATAGCCTGACAAAAATGATACACATAAAGTAAATGTTTAAAATGGCAAATTTAATTGTGAAAATTGAAATTAAAAATTGGATTTAATGTTACTCTCAGCTAAAATTGTCACATTTTTGCTGCTTAATCTTCAGAAGTGGTGAAGTAGTTCTGACTTGGCCACACAGATGTTCTGGAGGTGCTGAAGGGTCGAACAGGCTGGGGCTGCCTGCTTTGTTAACGAGTAAAAGAACCTTTAAATCTCATCAGATATACTATTTTCAGAGCTTAAAAATATGTTTAAAACTAACGTTTTGCCTGTCTAAATGATATAATTAAAGGAATGGATTGTATTTTTAATGCAACTTTTTACCTGACACTTTTGTAAAATAAAGAATATATATACATATGTCATATATATTATAAATCTGACACCAACCTCTGAGAGGCTGTGTGGTTGTCTGTCTGTGAAGGATGGAGTTGGACACTTTCAGGCACCTCAGGCAGGGCAAACTTGCCACCTCCAGCCTTTCTCCAGCGTCCAGCTTCATCACTCCAAACCTCCAAGCTGAATGTATCTCTTTCGAAACTAGAATATTCAAAAACCTGAAGCTTTTCTGAAATAAAGCAGAATGTTTTAAAGATAAATTGCTTTGTGATTTGTTACAGCGGCAGTCGTGTCAGCAGTTTCTGTCTGGATGTAAAGATCTGTGATTGTGTGTGTGTGTGTGTGTGTGTGTGTGTGTGTGTGTGTGTGTGTGTGTGTGTGTGTGTGTGTG